TCGTATAGGTATTGACCAAGGTCTAAACTATTGCAATCCAAAGGAAGTTCTTCACACAAGGAATGCATATGTATAAAGTGAAAACCTTAGTTTAGACCTTTTAAACTTTATACATGCATTATCATACATGTGTACTCTGAGGTCAAATAAGTTTGCACTAAAAATTAAAGGTGTTACAAAATGTATACACACATGAAATATGGAATCCAAAGCGAAAAAATCAAAAGTAATGGGCAAGGTAAAAGTTTTTGCGAAGAGACTAACAGCTGCTTTTTTCATTAAAATTGGAATCGTAAATTCACTTACCTTGTCATTGGTCATTTACAAAATTATTTAAAAAGATTCTGATTGAACAAACAAGTGCTCTGATTTTGACATCAAAAAGATGCTTGAGTTTCTGATTGACAATATCAATGTGGTGTTTGGAAACCAGGTCTTCCAACAATCTATTGGATTTCCCATGGGTACAAAGTGTGCTCCGTTTTAAGCAGACCTATTTTTGTATTGATATGAATCAGAATTTTTCAAAAAAATCTTATACGTGAAAAGAAGAAAACACTTGCTGTGACCTTCAACTCGACATTTAGACATAACGACGACGTATTGTCAATTGACAATGGTAATTTCCATTTTTATGTCGATACGATATAGCCTGGTGAGTTTGAGATAAAAGATATCACAGAGTCTGACACATCTGTTTCATATTTGGATATTTTACTTGAAAAAAGACGTAAATGGTAATCTACCAATCAAGCTCTATGTGATGACTTGAACTTTACAATCGTCAGCTTCCCTTACTTAGGCAGCAATATACTTTCATCACCCGAGTTTGTATATTTCAGTTGATTCAATATTCAAGAGCATGCTGTACGTATGAACAATTTCTAAAACGAGGTAAATTTTTGACAAAAAGAATACAAAAGAAGATTGGCGTACTTGGCGTGTGATCTGCAGGAATCATTTGTACGAAACGTTTATGGTTTAAATGTCCATGATTTTGTTGGCTGACCATAGCTGGTCAGACTTTACAAACACAACCATAGGATTTCTTTTCATTTTAATTAGTTTGAAATGCCTTGTCAGATTATAACATTTATCTTGTTTTATGGACTTTTGGTCTTGAATAGTGTTCGTTATTTCCATATGTTTCAATGAGCTTTTATCACAAAGACATACGAGGTCGGATAGAGTAGACTGTCTTTTATATTTTGGAATACTTAGGAAGTGTTCATACTACAGTATGGTTCTTTTTTCTCTGTCATAAAATTCAGATCTTATTATCATTTGATAAATCCACCAGGAGCGATTGACCAGAAGGATAATACGGTTACTAATTAATATAATTGCATTACATGGAGTATATATATGAAATATTAATGACAGTTGGCGGTTTTGTAGTTTTCCCACAGGTACGGATCACTTTGTACATATCAAAACATTGTCACTGTGCATCATATTGTTATTTCCAAATAAAAAGTGACGTGCCTATTATCTTTTGTATAACATTTTATGATTTTTGTTTCAGGGCATGTAACTTATTTTTCATTCATTTCATTACTATTCTTATATTCAAAAAAAATATTATGAAAAGAAAGTATGAATCCATAGTATTTCATTTCGATCTCTTTTCTTTTAACTCTTTTTTTCGATATGGGCTTTGCAAAGTGTAGTTATATAATTAATGGTCCAGAAAACCTATTTAAGTTTCCCTTTGCATATTAAGATAAAAATTGAGAGACTGTTCTCACCTGTAGGCCTATGTTGTTTACTTTTTGTTTATTATTTACTAGTATCATGTTATGATACCATAAGAACTCTGTATTCATTCAGATGTTCTTTTTATCATGCTTTATATTGAAGAAAGTACGTTTCTATATAAGCAATGTTGTGAAACCAAGTATAATTGTAAATTCCTTGAATGACATTTTCTCCTGGCCATGGGGTATATGATTTGAAGAAATATTTTTAATAGAGCCAATCAATCTAAACTTAGGGTAAGGTTAGAGTTTTTGCAGACTAGCCGCGATGGCCATACAAATGAAAAGACAGACCGGCTTAGCAAAAACTACAAAACCTCCAATCACCAATTCCGAGGACGTAAAAATTAAAGAATTGAAATACAAGAACATTCAATGTTAATTTCAAGACTCCGAACATTCAACGTTTATTTCAGGTCCCAGCTCACTGACGCAGGATACAAGATAAAAGTCTGAAAAAATATGCACTTAACCTTTTACTTGGCAAATTCACATTCATTTGAAAGTGTCGATTAACACACTTACATGTAATTTTGAGAAAAAAAATTATTTTAAAAAAATAGTCGGAGCTTGAATACTTACAGACTGACTATTATCTCTATATTTCCTGTAAATATTATACATTAATATTTATATTTACATTTCTATCTTTCTACTTGTTTTTTTTCTGTGATAACTCTTTGAAAGTTACATGAGTGTTTTGATTTCTTGATGATTCAACTTGAATGTAAATTTCGCCAAGTGAAAGGTCAGTAGGTAATGGAAACTTTGTGTCTTTGTGTCTGACGTCAGAGGGTGGGGAATTAATTGAAATTGACATGGGAGGACTTGTGTAAATAAATGCAAATCTATTGTCTATCTATTTTCTTAACAGAAATAGAAGTATGGGTTTCAGTGTGTTTTTATACATAAATAAATGAAGTGAATGTTACCTTTGTGAATTTTACCTGACTTTTCCAATATAAACATTTGCTCTGACACAAAAGATTTTGACTACACATCATAGAGCATTTGTCTTTATTTCACAGTCGTTGTGTCGAGAAAATATCTATATTTTCGAACATTTGAAAGTCTAAACAATCGAATAAACTGTACTAATCGTATCTGGAGAGATATACGCAGTAAGATTTCTAATTTTCAGACGCCTTGGAAGAAGCTGTGCTGAGTGATTCTGTGGCTCTGTTACGTCACTTTCTCCAGAAGAAATATGAATGTTCTGAAGAACCTCAACAAGACGTCAACATGAAGGCGGGAGACGTGTTAGAGTTTGTACATGATCTGTCAAGTGGCAGGGTGAGGCTAGGAAGTATTTAGTAAAAATTTTAAAAAAGGTTTTTAAGGGTCAATATTTGCATTCATGATGGGCTGCTAATTTTACTGTCACTTGGTATGTTCTAGATAATTTGATAGTTATGGTCTTGTAAAGGTATTAAGCATTTTTTTCTTTAATTTTAAAATACCGGTAGTTTTTAATGTAGATTCGAATATAAAACTAAGGTTCATTTACTCTGTCTCTGTAGATCGAGGTATATAAAACCAAAAAAAGTATTATTGAAGTTTAAAAACTTAAGTCCCCTGTAGGGTTTATGTGCATGTTTTGTTGAATACCTCACTTTTTAGAGCACGCCTTACATCGGGGCCCTGGGTCAGTACGTATGGACCAATACTAGCGACAACACAGGCAAAATGAGGACACAGTATTCGTTTGGAATTATGGGATATAATGGAACAACTACAAAGGTTTTTCATCTGATTTTATATAAAATAGCTTAAATTTTTCTCTTACAATTTAAAAGATTAATGTTTTTTTATCAAGTAAGTGCATTACAGTACTTGAATTAAATTTTAATATCGGATGTCAATAGTTGTATATTGAGTGTTTGAAATATATTAATCTATTTATAGATAGGTAACTGTTCCTTTGTGGGGAGGAACGTGACGATTTTGGACACTAAGTTGATGCCTGCCCCTGACAAAAGTTTGGATAAAGTGCTGGCAGGCCAAATGTTTACGGTCATCACGCGTGTTGTAGGTGGATACGTCAATCTGATATATTTTTCATTAGTACCTTTGGAAGCATTTTACGTCACAGAATCTTTGGTGGCTCCTGTAGGAATACTATAGTATAGTATCTCGAACCATTCACTTTTTGTCGTACATAGGATTAATTATACATGTACGAGGGGTGATCAAAAAGTTCGCAAACTAATTGAATAACTTCCATACAAGAAACAATATTTGGTTTATATTTTAATTTTGATTAATCCTCCCCGATTTTAATGCACATCAACCACCGTTCTGCGCATGCGCTAATCACGTGATATTGACGGTTTTATATTTCTTTCCATGTGAGTTAATTTTTATGACAAGAACAGTTAATTTGTCAGAAATGGTCATATCTCAGCAACAGAATGGGTGGATAATAGCATCCTTTCCAAAAATAAGCATGGCGACCATTAAAACACAAATCTTCTGTCTCAGTAGAGACCTTTATTCAAGGTGGATAGAGAATGGGTGCATCCTTTTTATCATATCTAATATGTTTAAAATCTAAAGTAAACGATATCTTAGGTATTTAATACTTATATCATTGTTCAAATATTCAACTATTTTTCAAAGTGCTAATTGGAGGTCTTTGATAGCAAATTGCTTAATTAAAAATACATATCTTTTCAAACTTGCTTTCACTGGGCAAGATGACAAGTATCATTTTTAACCATCAGCCTTCCTTCACTAAAATGATTAATCCAATCATTAATTGAATTTATAGGAACTCATTTATCTCAATAAACTGTGTACAAATTATTATATGATACTGTAGAGGGATTTCTAAGATATTACAATAAATTGTACAGTCGTTTGTTGAACAAGTTCGACTGAGACAACCATTTTTCGTCACAAGTGACCTAAATAGTGACGTCAAATTTATTATTGTGACGTCACAAACAAGGAGAGAAACTTTATTCAGCATATGCTATTTATAGACCTTGTGTATGGCTATGTGTGTACCGAATTTCATTCTGATCTGAATTGTGGTTTTGTAGATATAGAGATAGTTTGCGAACTTTTTGATCACCCCTCGTATCATGTTAATTTTGAGTTTACTTACCTGGAAGTAAATGCAAAGTTTACAACAAAATAATTCATGATTCTCTTCATTTAGCAATTGTTTGGGTTTATATTCATTAATAATCTTCATTTCATGATGTTTGGAAGGAACCCCCATTTGTGCTGAAAACAGGGGTTGGTAAATACGAAGGGTTTTCCGTTGATGTCTTAGAAGAGATTGCGTCTATGATGAACTTCAACTTCGAAATAAAGGAACTGGACAGCTTTACAAACAACAAGAGCGATGTTACAGCCGACTGGGACACCATTATAAAACAACTGATTGTAGGGGTAACGAGACTCTTTATTTTGGGATAACTGTATCTTGTAAAAGTTTAATTTATATACTAGTGAAAATAGTTAACTATTTTCCACCTTTCTTCTGAACAAAAGTCTTTTGTAAGTTAAGGTACACGTCCAAAACAACACTTTGCTTTGTTTCAGTTTAGTTTCTTTAATCAAAATTAACCTTTTATTTTCATCAGTCCTAGAGGAATAATGATTGTGATTTTCAACAATTGATGAGGATTCTTTAATATTTTTTCTTCACAGAATGCGTCTATGGCGATTGGTTCCTTGGCGGTTAAGTCAAGCAGGGAGGAACAAATTTCTTTCTCCTATACAATTATTTCTTCTACCATCAGCATGCTCTCAAAACGACCAGTCAACTCGCCTGTCCTCTTTCAATTTCTGTGGCCATTTAGTTGGCAGCTCTGGGTAGTCATTATTGCCTTCTACGTCGTCGCAGGTGGGGCACTATGGGCCATGAGTAAATATGACGTCACTCAAAATGGTTCAGAGCAACAGTTCAATTTGAAAGAAAGTATTTGGTACTCCGTTAATCTTTTCCTTGGAGGTAATTCCTAAGTTAGGTATCAGTTGTTACATGCATATCACATGTATCAGTAATTTGTTGAAAAAGTAGTACAAATTAATTTTTTTTTTAATTTTTGTTATGAATTAGGGGGCACCGAGTATTCTCCGCAGACGACATCGATGAGGACGATGGTGGCCTTTTTCTGGTTCTGTACGCTTGTGATCACTGCTGCCTACACCGCTAACCTGGCGGCGTACCTGACTCTACAACAGCAAGACACACGCATCAAGACCGTGGATAAACTCTCTAAACAGATGACCGTGAAGTACGGGCTGCAGAAAAACAGCGACCTGATGCATTTCTTCAAAGATTCCTCGATGGATCCGTACGAACGAATGTGGGCCACCATCAAACTGGAGGAGGAGACCCGACTAGTTCCGGATAGAGAGACTGGTGTTAGGATGGTCAAAAATGGCGTGAACGGAAGTGACTTCATATTCCTTGATTTGGCCAAAATAAACGAGTACACGGCTTTACAAAGATGTGACATGGAATCGTACGATCAGAATTTCAAGGAAACTAAGTTTAGCATGGGGTTTCCTGATGGCGCTCCGTATAAGGACGATATCAACAGAGCCATTTTGATTCTGAAAGAAAGAGGGCGTCTTGATGCTTTAATCGACAAGTAATGACCTGAATAATGCCGAAATATTAAATTTACAGATAAATGGATGGCTGAACAAAGTATCTAAATTCTTAATCAATTCATAAGTATTTCTGACCAAGACCCAACTTGTAAAAGTTACTTTTTTTCTTGTAGATGGTGGGCGATTCCGAAGACAAGAGAATGTGCGGACTACGTCCGGCCAGAAGACATGAAGAAACCGACAGCGGAACTGGACCTGGACAACATGCTGGGTGTGTTCATCATCCTGATGGCGTGCGTCAGTCTGTCCGTCATCATCGAGGTCTCCAAGAGAATCAGGATGATCTTCAACGGACGGAGGAAGAAAGTCTGAGAATGATGGGGACTTCTTTTGGTGCCGTAAAGTTTGAAATTGCGAAGGCACTATCTGGATTGAAAATTGAATCTTTTTTGTACTTTTTAACAAAGAAGTCCAGTTTGGAAAAGACATCTTGGATTAAAAGGGACATCGAAAGTATACCCTGTGAATGTAGGAACAGTTCTTGGTGTTTCTTCATAAATACCCATCTGTTCATTGAACAATAAACGACTTTATAACATTTATGGAGTTATGTATCTGGAAATTGGATTTGCAAATACGTTCATTATATCTTCAATCTACTTATCTTTTCATTCATTAATTCAATTATTACAATGTCACTACGAAACTGTTATTGAATTTATTTAAGATACATGAGTGTATATATTAATTTTAAAATGATAACTATTTGTAAAATAAAATTAATTTTTTATTTGGATTTTTTTTTTCTAAGTAATCATCAAATTTGATTACTCACTATTTATTCCAATTTAACCAGTTTCAAAATATTAAAAGTCCATAAGAACAGTACAAAATAAAGCAAAGCAAACACGGACCTCTAAAATCAGAGGTGGAAAGAGGTGCTATATATGTAAGAGTATGCATCCCTTACCGAATGATCACATCTACCAGTGCTTGTAATGATCGAGCATACAGGAAATCCCGCACACAATTTAGCGTGTAAATAATTATCTAACAAATTGAATTGTTTTAAACGTCGGTCAACATTTGACATAACGGACCACCGTATTTAATTTGCTGCCAGTATCAACATTGACCATGGTATTTGAGAATCATTGACTTAAGAAGCAAGACTGTTTATATCCTTGTATTCTCAACTTATTTGTCGAGAGCTTGTTTTAGAAATGGTTACATGTATTTACAGCAATCTCTTGCGTATCGAATCAACTGGGAGACATAAGCCCCATATGCAGGTTATGATGGTGTACTAGTATTACTACAATAGTAAGAGAAGCTGAGCAGATAAAAGTTGAAATTGTCGTGTTAATTGTAAAAAAAAAATAAAAAACAGATGGATTTTCAATTAATTTCTATTCAAAACTACTGGAAAGTAGTTCAGAAGCTTAGTTTGTCAAAGAACATATGATGGAACGATGAATATGAATTATAAGAATATCTTGGGAAAGAAATTCTGTGTAAAGCTACATTGTAAACAAAAAAACTTGTGCATGTACGTTGCGTATGACTTAAGAGTACGTCTATTGTTGTTGAAGATTTGAGGACGATTTATAGCCTGATTTCAACGGATAAAATTTCTTCATATATTCACTTGCATTGTAAATATGTTTTAATTTTGTTGAATAAATAATCATACTTAAAATTAATGAAATCATTATCTCTGATACTTCGGATAAGATTTTCTCAATAATTGTTTGATTTTTCCTTGAAAGGATGTTTGATTTTTCCTTGAAAGGATGTTTTTTTTTTTTTTTTTTTAAATTAAGATTTGTGTGAGTATCGAGAATACTATGAAATATTTATGAAAAGATATTAACATCCTAAAAAAAATAATTTTAAGGCCTTTCAGGATTTTTTCCAATTATTGATTATTTAGATATTTATCTAAACTGGAGTGATCTTTCATAGCCTGGTTCCCGAGGCCTTCCGATGTGCACGCACAGAAGGCCTGGCATGCACTTTGCAATGTCAGCATCCTACGTAACATCCAAGATGGCGGCCGATGCTGTAAGTTTGTATAGTAAATGATACATCTTGCCCGATCAATAGCATTTTTAACTGCGTCATGTCCATTTTTTTCATTTATTTGACAAGAACTCGGTTCAATGATATTATTGAAACTGACTTTTGGCCACGAATCACCTGATTTGATCTGCCAACCTACCTATTTACATCGATCAGCTGTTTATATGTAAATGGCATAGGCCCGTATCAAAATACACCCAGATTTAACATTTTTTACTGCGTCATGTCGATTTTTTTCTTTTATTTGACTAGAATTCGGTTCAATGAGATTATTTAAACTGCCTCTTGGCCGTGAATCACCTGATTTGATCTGCCAAGCTATACCTATTTACATCGATCAGCTGTTTACATGTAAATGGCATAGGCCTGTATCAAAATACACCTAGATTAATTAATATTTTTTACTGGATCATGTCGATTTTTTTCATTCATTTGACTAGAATTCGGTTCAATGATATTATTCAGACTGTCTTTTTGCCACGAATCACCTGATTTGATCTGCCAAGCTATACCTATTTACATCGATCAGCTGTTTATATATAAACACGAATGACATACATGTATATCATAATACACCCAGGTTTAACAAATTCTGAACACTCAATCCACAGTTTAGTATAAAGGAATGAATAAAGAATACTTTTCTAAATGTTAATAGCCATTTGAACATCAGTATGCCAGTGAAATAAAACATGTTCTGAAAAAAGAAAGGGGTCCATCCTTCATGTTACATTCATATGCAAAGAGCCAGTCAACCCCCCCAAAATCAAACACATCCAAGAGATGCAGAGGAACGCCCTCTGGGGAGACTCCGATCCAACCAGCAAAACTTCATTGTCAAGTATTGATTGAAATAAAGTGAAATTATTGAGAATAACCTTAAAAGGCTTTGAATAGTATACATGTCTATATTTATATATACATATATAAAAACATTAAAGTTTCTAACAAGATTAAATTTAAAATGAAAGCAACAAACTATAAAATTATGCAAACAGTAGATTGTACATGTACAGACATTTATGTGATGTAGTTATTTCAGTTTCTCTGATTTTCTTTAATTGTTTTTGTAGTCAGTTGGATCTAAATGGGAGACATCTGAAATTGAGCATTTAAACACATATATGGAATGCAATCCACCGACAATGCCAATATCAAATGAGTATTGGCGTTCTGTAGCATGAAGCCTCAACAACACTTTTGGAACGTCCAGAACGGGTTTGCAATGAGATCTTTAAAATACTGAATATTGCATGAATGTATATGGTACTGTTTAGGCCATAATAAAAATATTCCTAGACTCTCATCCCCGCCCGCCCCGATTTTATACCCCTGCCTCGATTTTTTTTATTTTGGTTTTTCTTCATCTTAATTCTGATTGGGATCGGTATTCATCTACCATTCTACTTTTGTTTTAAATTCCGCGAAAAGATGATAAGCTGAAAAATGGTAATTGCTGTAATACATGCATATATATTTTAAATAAGGGTCATTGGTTGAAAAAGATTGGTGATGATGTGAAGTAAGAGATAATTGAACCTTTGCTATGACTTTTATTCGGGTATTTTAGTTAAAATTACACCGATTGACCAGGTCAATAAAATATCTGCAAAATTGAAAAAATAAAAAATAAAAGCCGCACGCCTGCCATCAATTTTTAAAAAAAAATCGGATGAGAATCAAGCAATTTATTTATTATGGCCTTATCTGTATTGCTCAAAAATATATTGTCAAAAAATAATTTTTGATTTGTACTTTCTAAAGGTGTGTCATGCAGGTGTTTCTATGCCAGACTATTAAAGTCAGCAAAGTTAGATATTGATACATCTACTTCAGCCGATGTACATCCAAAGACTGTTGACCAGTCATGTCAGACTGATTTAAGTATACCTCCACTTCAAAGGTATAATTCATAAACTCAATGACATATATTTTAATTGTTTTTCATATGTTAGTGTAAAGGGAAATGTATCATAATGAACATAAACTCAATGTACTTTTTAGTTTACCTGAACCGAAGCTTTTCTGATCTCATTTTGTCTGTCCATCTGTCTAGCTGTCTGTCTGTTCCTCCATCCGTCTGTAAACATTTCACATTTTTGACTTCTACTCAAGAACCACTAAACCAATTGTAACCAAAATTGGTGAACAGCATCCTTGGGTGAAGGGGGGTTTAAATTGTTCAAATGAAGGACCTAGTCACATCACAAGGGGAGATAATCAAGAAAAGACAAAAATAGAGTGGGTCAATAAAAAATCTTCTTCTCAAGAACCACTGGGCTAGAAAAGATGAAACTTATGTGGAAGCATTCTGGGGTAGTGAAAATTCTAAATTGTTAAAAACATGGCCCCTGGGGATAGGGTGGGGCCACAATAGGGAATCCATGTTTATGATTGAAATATATAGGAAAAAATAGTTTTCTCAAGAACCATGCCCTGTTCCAGAAAAGCTGAAACTAATATGTGGAAGCATTCTGGGGTAATATAGATTCTACATTCTCCAAATTACCCCATTGGGTAGGGAGGGGTCACAATAGGTATTACAAAGGGGAAATCTGGTGAAGAATAGCATGGCAAAGATACTCAGGTGAGAGATGTGTCCCATTGGCCTCTTGTAATTTATTTAATAGTACACAGTCAATTCCAAATCATAATGAGAAACCAATGGATGAATCTTTGGACCCTCCAGCTGGCCAGAAAATGCTTCACTTTCTGAAAAAATCAAGGAACAATATCAACAAATCTAACCAAGACCAGGAACAGTTCCATCTAGAAAATGATAACCTTCAAAAAAATTTAATTCTAGATATTATACAAAAAATTTGTACCGGAAGTTCTTCTATCGATATTGCTAAACAAATAATGAATATCACATGCCTAAAAGAAAGTCTCTGGTCTCTTTTCTTACTAGAAATTGAATCAGACGCCAAGTATATGTCATGTAAAAACCAAAGTTACCTAGGTCAAGTAACGTATGATGACCTCAAGTCCTTTACCTGGGAAAGCATAATTGAGGAAATGTTTAAATACCAACCTAGGCTTTTGCAGATCCTTATTACCATCTCAACAGGGGAAAATAAAGCAACAGATGAAAGCCATTACAAGTCTGCAGCTAGAGAAATTGGCCTTATTTATGGTATACTGATGAAAAGGAGAAATCATATCCTTTCTCGGGTCCAAAGATTTATTGCTGTAGCAATTGCTCAAGAGAATGTTCATCAAAAGGTAAGATTCAAAAGGTGAGATTTCAACATTACCTTTATTCTTCTCAAATTAATACAGCTTATACAACAATGTAAATTGTAAACCAACTTAAGGAGGCTGGGGAGTCAAGAAATTAACCACGAATTAACCACCAGATTTCACTTATTTTTTACATACGGTAACTTAAGCTGTCTACTATCATTTGGCAAAGAAAAAAAATCAAACATTTTAGTTAAAAAATTTAATCATTTTTGTATATCTTTATATAGAGCTCTTCTTTAAAAGGAGATCTAAATGGTCTGAAAATGGCTGCCACCCCCAGCCTCTTTAATAGACTGTTTCACGGTAACTGCTGTACTGCTCTTTTGCAGGGCAAAATGATATATTTTGGTGAAATATGACGTAGAAGTAATTGTTAAGTATACGTCATTTAATTAGCTCTCAACAAAAACTTCGCCAAACGTTATTATTTTGCCCTGCAAAAGAGTAGTACCGCAGTTACCG